TTTAATGGGACAAGCCCGCCACAACCTCCCAAAACCGCTGCAACTCCTGTAAGCCAGGATCTACAGTAGATACAACCATGAAAACACCGGAACACTGAAGTCCAACGTCCCAGGGATTTGAATAACTGTCTTGGTTCCCGCAACAAAGTGAATCAGAAGATATTATAAGAGGAGAAGAAGAAAAGACGATAGTTTCCACTTCCCTCGGTGAATTACTGCAGAAGACAGAGTGAATTAAGCCTAAAGGCACAAAGAAGAGACTGTACAACTGGGTGAAGCCCAGTCGCCAAGCACCACGGAAATTTGACTAAAAACTAAGTGGGTCCTATGTGTGAGCTGTTATACTTGCTTCCAATAATAGGTATGGCAAAAGTGCCTAAACGCAATTTGTTCTAGGTTCCACAAGGTCCGTATAATAAGCTACACGAAACATATACTTATCAAAACAAACCGTATCATAACAATCGCGGGATAATCACACATACTTTTTCTAAGTCGGTTGAAAGAAATCGAACCACAAGTGCCGGAGATATGTAGATCTATAAAAATACGGTCTTCCTTTTTTGACGTCATACGAATATATAGAAGGTAGAACGAATGCAATGTCCTCACGTATGTCGGCGGCGGGCTGCGGCAGGCGGTAGACGTGCAGCTGGGCGTGAGTGTCCACGGCCACTAGTACGCCGCCCAGGTGCGATATAATATATAGAAGGTAGAACGAATGCAATGTCCTCACGTATGTCGGCGGCGGGCTGCGGCAGGCGGTAGACGTGCAGCTGGGCGTGAGTGTCCACGGCCACTAGTACGCCGCCCAGGTGCGATATAATATATAGAAGGTAGAACGAATGCAATGTCCTCACGTATGTCGGCGGCGGGCTGCGGCAGGCGGTAGACGTGCAGCTGGGCGTGAGTGTCCACGGCCACTAGTACGCCGCCCAGGTGCGATATAATATATAGAAGGTAGAACGAATGCAATGTCCTCACGTATGTCGGCGGCGGGCTGCGGCAGGCGGTAGACGTGCAGCTGGGCGTGAGTGTCCACGGCCACTAGTACGCCGCCCAGGTGCGATATAATATATAGAAGGTAGAACGAATGCAATGTCCTCACGTATGTCGGCGGCGGGCTGCGGCAGGCGGTAGACGTGCAGCTGGGCGTGAGTGTCCACGGCCACTAGTACGCCGCCCAGGTGCGATATAATATATAGAAGGTAGAACGAATGCAATGTCCTCACGTATGTCGGCGGCGGGCTGCGGCAGGCGGTAGACGTGCAGCTGGGCGTGAGTGTCCACGGCCACTAGTACGCCGCCCAGGTGCGATATAATATATAGAAGGTAGAACGAATGCAATGTCCTCACGTATGTCGGCGGCGGGCTGCGGCAGGCGGTAGACGTGCAGCTGGGCGTGAGTGTCCACGGCCACTAGTACGCCGCCCAGGTGCGATATAATATATAGAAGGTAGAACGAATGCAATGTCCTCACGTATGTCGGCGGCGGGCTGCGGCAGGCGGTAGACGTGCAGCTGGGCGTGAGTGTCCACGGCCACTAGTACGCCGCCCAGGTGCGATATAATATATAGAAGGTAGAACGAATGCAATGTCCTCACGTATGTCGGCGGCGGGCTGCGGCAGGCGGTAGACGTGCAGCTGGGCGTGAGTGTCCACGGCCACTAGTACGCCGCCCAGGTGCGACATCTCCACGCACGACACTATCGCGCACCCCGCCCCGCCCTGCCACGGACAACGTGCACACGTATTCATAACCTGCTCCTTTTTGGCATGTCGGTTAAATAATAATGGAATTTTCTACTTCTATCATAGAAAACCGGCGTGTAACAATATTTGTTTGTTTGCAGCCTTGTCAATGAGGGCAGTGTCATCCCAATTAGACCCACACCTCAATTCTCAATCTTCTAATTATTAGAAGATTCAGAATTGAGGTGTGGGTCTAATAAGGTTAGTCTAACCTAACTAGTTGTTCTATAGTCAGAATTTTAATTAGATTCCAGATTTGACAATAGCTACTGTCATTTTGTGAAATAATGATACCACATATAATAGTGTAATGATGAACACAAAAATCGATAAAAAATCAGTGTGTGTGTTTTATAATAAATGTTACATAAAGTGACAGGATAGCGATAGCGATGACATAACGTTGCAACACTGAAATTGTCAAATCTGGAATCGAATTAAAATTCCGAGTATAGGTGTCGTTAGGGAAAAATCGATCTGGGGTCTAAACAAGTTGGCCATCTCTGCAATAATAGATAAGTATGCGTCAATCCTTCGATTTTACTCTTTGTTTATTCAGTACGACAATAGTTATAAAATAAAACACAGGGGTATTTACATGTATACTAGTTTGTCACTCACCGGTGCACCATTGGGTCCATATTTAGTTTTCTTGGGCGGCGTGGAGGCTGCCTCCACCGCGGACAGGCCGCCAGTAGTTACCACTGCACGACTGCATATCTGACAGAAGTAATATGTAATGTTAATTATCCATATAACTTTATGGGGGTAATTTGGCTCAAGCTTTGTGATAGCCTGAAACATAGGTTTAAATTAACCCGATCCATGGTGCCTTCCTGCTGGACCGAATAAAAACATGGACAAAATGTAACACATTTTTACCTACCATTCTTTGGAAATGATTTAGTCAAGATCCTTTCATGTCACGATAATTTTGCTTAATTGAACATTGTAAAACCATTGACATTAGTGTTCTTGGTAGTTTTTTTAAATATTATAAGACAATCTTTTTTTTAAAGAGTAAAATCATCGTATTGCTTCTCCCGCCTGTGTGAGAGGGAGTGTCAGACTCTTACTGACTAAAAACCTTTTCGTTCCTACTCCAGCACTTAGAGCCGAAGCCTTGGCAACCTTTTTCGTTCTACGCGGCTTTGAATTGGCATCAGCCCTATTGGGCCGGTCTGTGATGGTCTGATGGCTGTTAGAGGCGCGCGCGGACCAGTCGGCGCCGTACGCTCGGGTCTGGTTGTGGTCGCGTGGCGAGCTACCCATGGTGGATGTACTCACGTAGTGGTGCGTGTCGCGGGCGAGCAGGTGTATGGCGCGCGGCGTGGCGAGCTACCCATGGTGGATGTACTCACGTAGTGGTGCGTGTCGCGGGCGAGCAGGTGTATGGCGCGCGGCGTGGCGAGCTACCCATGGTGGATGTACTCACGTAGTGGTGCGTGTCGCGGGCGAGCAGGTGTATGGCGCGCGGCGTGGCGAGCTACCCATGGTGGATGTACTCACGTAGTGGTGCGTGTCGCGGGCGAGCAGGTGTATGGCGCGCGGCGTGGCGAGCTACCCATGGTGGATGTACTCACGTAGTGGTGCGTGTCGCGGGCGAGCAGGTGTATGGCGCGCGGCGTGGCGAGCTACCCATGGTGGATGTACTCACGTAGTGGTGCGTGTCGCGGGCGAGCAGGTGTATGGCGCGCGGCGTGGCGAGCTACCCATGGTGGATGTACTCACGTAGTGGTGCGTGTCGCGGGCGAGCAGGTGTATGGCGCGCGGCGTGGCGAGCTACCCATGGTGGATGTACTCACGTAGTGGTGCGTGTCGCGGGCGAGCAGGTGTATGGCGCGCGGCGTGGCGAGCTACCCATGGTGGATGTACTCACGTAGTGGTGCGTGTCGCGGGCGAGCAGGTGTATGGCGCGCGGCGTGGCGAGCTACCCATGGTGGATGTACTCACGTAGTGGTGCGTGTCGCGGGCGAGCAGGTGTATGGCGCGCGGCGTGGCGAGCTACCCATGGTGGATGTACTCACGTAGTGGTGCGTGTCGCGGGCGAGCAGGTGTATGGCGCGCGGCGTGGCGAGCTACCCATGGTGGATGTACTCACGTAGTGGTGCGTGTCGCGGGCGAGCAGGTGTATGGCGCGCGGCGTGGCGAGCTACCCATGGTGGATGTACTCACGTAGTGGTGCGTGTCGCGGGCGAGCAGGTGTATGGCGCGCGGCGTGGCGAGCTACCCATGGTGGATGTACTCACGTAGTGGTGCGTGTCGCGGGCGAGCAGGTGTATGGCGCGCGGCGTGGCGAGCTACCCATGGTGGATGTACTCACGTAGTGGTGCGTGTCGCGGGCGAGCAGGTGTATGGCGCGCGGCGTGGCGAGCTACCCATGGTGGATGTACTCACGTAGTGGTGCGTGTCGCGGGCGAGCAGGTGTATGGCGCGCGGCGTGGCGAGCTACCCATGGTGGATGTACTCACGTAGTGGTGCGTGTCGCGGGCGAGCAGGTGTATGGCGCGCGGCGTGGCGAGCTACCCATGGTGGATGTACTCACGTAGTGGTGCGTGTCGCGGGCGAGCAGGTGTATGGCGCGCGGCGTGGCGAGCTACCCATGGTGGATGTACTCACGTAGTGGTGCGTGTCGCGGGCGAGCAGGTGTATGGCGCGCGGCGTGGCGAGCTACCCATGGTGGATGTACTCACGTAGTGGTGCGTGTCGCGGGCGAGCAGGTGTATGGCGCGCGGCGTGGCGAGCTACCCATGGTGGATGTACTCACGTAGTGGTGCGTGTCGCGGGCGAGCAGGTGTATGGCGCGCGGCGTGGCGAGCTACCCATGGTGGATGTACTCACGTAGTGGTGCGTGTCGCGGGCGAGCAGGTGTATGGCGCGCGGCGTGGCGAGCTACCCATGGTGGATGTACTCACGTAGTGGTGCGTGTCGCGGGCGAGCAGGTGTATGGCGCGCGGCGTGGCGAGCTACCCATGGTGGATGTACTCACGTAGTGGTGCGTGTCGCGGGCGAGCAGGTGTATGGCGCGCGGCGTGGCGAGCTACCCATGGTGGATGTACTCACGTAGTGGTGCGTGTCGCGGGCGAGCAGGTGTATGGCGCGCGGCGTGGCGAGCTACCCATGGTGGATGTACTCACGTAGTGGTGCGTGTCGCGGGCGAGCAGGTGTATGGCGCGCGGCGTGGCGAGCTACCCATGGTGGATGTACTCACGTAGTGGTGCGTGTCGCGGGCGAGCAGGTGTATGGCGCGCGGCGTGGCGAGCTACCCATGGTGGATGTACTCACGTAGTGGTGCGTGTCGCGGGCGAGCAGGTGTATGGCGCGCGGCGTGGCGAGCTACCCATGGTGGATGTACTCACGTAGTGGTGCGTGTCGCGGGCGAGCAGGTGTATGGCGCGCGGCGTGGCGAGCTACCCATGGTGGATGTACTCACGTAGTGGTGCGTGTCGCGGGCGAGCAGGTGTATGGCGCGCGGCGTGGCGAGCTACCCATGGTGGATGTACTCACGTAGTGGTGCGTGTCGCGGGCGAGCAGGTGTATGGCGCGCGGCGTGGCGAGCTACCCATGGTGGATGTACTCACGTAGTGGTGCGTGTCGCGGGCGAGCAGGTGTATGGCGCGCGGCGTGGCGAGCTACCCATGGTGGATGTACTCACGTAGTGGTGCGTGTCGCGGGCGAGCAGGTGTATGGCGCGCGGCGTGGCGAGCTACCCATGGTGGATGTACTCACGTAGTGGTGCGTGTCGCGGGCGAGCAGGTGTATGGCGCGCGGCGTGGCGAGCTACCCATGGTGGATGTACTCACGTAGTGGTGCGTGTCGCGGGCGAGCAGGTGTATGGCGCGCGGCGTGGCGAGCTACCCATGGTGGATGTACTCACGTAGTGGTGCGTGTCGCGGGCGAGCAGGTGTATGGCGCGCGGCGTGGCGAGCTACCCATGGTGGATGTACTCACGTAGTGGTGCGTGTCGCGGGCGAGCAGGTGTATGGCGCGCGGCGTGGCGAGCTACCCATGGTGGATGTACTCACGTAGTGGTGCGTGTCGCGGGCGAGCAGGTGTATGGCGCGCGGCGTGGCGAGCTACCCATGGTGGATGTACTCACGTAGTGGTGCGTGTCGCGGGCGAGCAGGTGTATGGCGCGCGGCGTGGCGAGCTACCCATGGTGGATGTACTCACGTAGTGGTGCGTGTCGCGGGCGAGCAGGTGTAATGCCACGCCTGCACGGTATACGTACATATAATAAAATCAGAACTAAAAATTACAGATTACTCACGTAAATATACTGAGGTAAGCTCGAGTATAGTTTCGAGACACAATAGGCTGCGCGATATCGCCGCGACCGCGCACGCTGCTCATGAAGAAGAGTTCCTCTGTGACTCGAAACTAGTAGTAGTAGTAGTAGAGCTGTTTTTTTTTAGTATATTGACGTGAGCAAAAGTTATTTTTAATTAATTTAGTATGTCTCACGGTAGTTATATAAACACAAATGAAAATCTTTTTTAGAGCAAGCTTTTATACACACTTATGGTCATACAAACTAGATGTATATACAAAACTTCAGCTTAATCTGTTACAGATATCTGATTCAAAATTAAGTTGCATGATTTCACTTGACACATACACAGATACATTGTAAGTTAAATAAAAGCTTATAAACAATCAGGAATAATTTCCTAATATTCTGTTTTTAACACAAATATGCAAACACGCACTCACACACGCATAATAAGACGAATATTAAGTTCACGTACTGGTAAATAATTCTCAGGAAGACGGTAAAACTTATTAAAAAATATAGACAACCTAAAAAACATTAGTCGATTAAAGATGCACACTAGATTTTTTATTAATATATAATTAAAACACTATTATAATAAGAAAAAACAAACTCACATTTATTAAACAAAATAACAGTAGGATAAAGAACTTACGAGAGTACTGAAGCAATCTAGACCAGGTTTGGGGCCACCTCCAGGTGTAGTACTGCCTTGTAGAGGACCTAGGTATAGACAATAGTAATACGTACACTTTCACAATTTTTTTTTGTTTAAACTACTCACGAGGTCATAATTACGGGCTCCGATAGGGCTCGAAACTAGGCGGGTATTCTCGAAATATAACAAAGAGAGTTAACCGTACAAATGTTTTGTAATTGGGTACTTGCCTACTTTTTTCGAACTGTCCTAAACGACAGCTTTCTATGAATTTTGTACAAGATTGTGTATTGTGGCGTCACATTCTTTTAGAGTCAAACAGCATACTTATTTCTTAAAAAATTGCTGGAAAAATACTAAAATTTGGTCATAAAATCAATTAATAGAAGTGTAATTATTGTAGGAAAGTAACCAATTTAGGTTTTTACGGTAGTTATTAGAAATATAAATTATTAAATCGTTTTTGATATTTTAGACATTACAGACAAAATGTATTTCAAACAATGTTCCGAAGAGAAACAGTTACAATTATGCGATTCTATAATCATGACCTTCTCTTATACGTAAGATGCTCGACTTATTTTGAGTCACAACAGAGCCCTTAATCTTGGCTCCCGAAATTAGTCGAGCAAGCCCGAAAAACTACAATTACTATTATTTTTAAACCTTACCTTTAGCAAACAACTTGTGTACTTGGTGAGCTCTCTCAGTGCACTTCCAAAGAGATAGCGCCGCCCCGGCCACCAGTAGCGAGTCGCACTCCTCGCGGCCGCACCATGATATCGAAACTGCATTGGATACAGGCAGTAATTTCCCAAATGATTAGTTAAAGAGACATCACTCATTTTATCAAATTTTAGTAAAGTTATTTTAGTGTAAGCACGCATTCTAATCAAAGGTCAATAACGGTACAATGATGATGACTTGGAGTGTCTGGTAGTGCCAGGGTAGAGAAAATTGTCCTATCCATGAGCGTACAAGTAACGATGCGGTCCACAAAGGTACAAGGATAGCGTCGCTTAAGTAATATATCATGTATCATGTTTAAAGTAAAGCGATTTTTTTTTATTAGTGTTTTTAAAACAATACTCAGTGGTAGCACGGAGTCTGGAATTGTGCCCGGTATATGGCAATGGGTTCACCCCTATAACATGGAACTCATAACTAGAAAAGTGGGTGTTACATTGTACAGTGACATTAAGTGCCGTAATGTGTACCTTTGCTTACCCCTTCGGGAATAAAAGGCGTGATGTTACGCTTATGTATGTATCTATGTTTAAAGTCAAGATTCAGATTTAGAGGAACAATTTTGGATCTTCATTTTTTACTGTGGATTGCAGCTAATCTCATGGGGGTCAATTGTTAATTCATTGTGCGTTCATGGGCGGAACTATGCGAGACACTGTGCATTTGTCCCATTATGCTTCATATACTAACGGTCAGGGAGTTAATAATGGAAATATGAATCCCTAAAATATGGCGTGGCAATGAGTAGTACGCACCGGGCTGCGCGTCCTGCGGCGGCAGGTAGATGGTGGGCAGCGGCTCCAGGCGCAGCGCCGCGCTCGCCACGCACACGCACACCACGCGCACGCACCAACGCCGCGCGCCCCCGCCCCCGCCCGCGCCCGCGCCCCCGCCCCCGCCCCCGCCCCCGCGACACACCATCGCCACGGCCAGGCTGCCGTCTGTATACCGGGACGATACTATTACTCTACGCATTCATTCACAAAAATACATTCCAAGTCCGCTTTAAGGTGTTAACACATCAATCGATCGATCGGCGATCGATGCCATCAGTCAACGTTGATCATTTGGTGTTTAATTGATCGACGGATACCGGTCAATGGTCGATTGTTCTGGTAGAAACTGTCGATCAACGTCGATTAACGGTCGATACTAATAACCTTAAATTCAAAATTTGTAAATATGTATCGATCTTTGACATTAATTGTAGAGATAGTTTCTGTCAATAACCGGTTTTAATTCAAGAAATTTAGATTGACATAAGTTATTAATTTCGACCGTTATTCATTCTACCATCGATGGTATCAATCCACAATCGATCGATTGGTCTGGTTGAATCGATTGACATCGACTAATCTATTCTGTCATCGATCCATTGGTGTAGTAACACCCTTATACTTACTCTTGTGCGCGATGCTGACAGCAGTGATATGATCCCTAGTAGGTCGCAGACAGTCAGTGGTGACAGTGGCGCGCGTGCCCTCCGCGGGGGGAGTGAGTGCCCCCACCAGGCCCGTCGCGGTCACTATACACGCGCCCTCACTCGCCACGCCGCTATGACAATCAATTATACACACGGTCAGAGCCAGTTATCCCTAAGGCAATCTAGGCAAGTGGTTAGGACGGGTGGTTACAGAGAAACGATAGAAAACGCGCGCACCTACCCAAGTGCCCACAGAATGGCAGCGGCGATAAAAAATAAAGCGGCGCTTATTAGGTACTTGCCTCGAGCGCTCACTAGGTTTAATCCACCGCAGATTACTGTCAGGCTCTATGACCAAAATGATACTTACCCGAATCCCTTGAGCGTGGGCGCACATCTCAGCATCTGTATCCGCTCAGAGATGGGAGCGTCTGGCTTCTTGTCCACCATCACAGTGCGACGTCCGTTGTGGAAGAACGACGCGCCGATTATGTGTTCACCTGATGAAAATGGATAATTTCAGGTCTAAAAATGTATCCTACATGTTTATTACTTAAGGGATTACTTACATACACACATTAGCTGACGACTGTCTCACATGGGGGTAGGCAGAGACTGTGGATTGCTACGATTGCTACGATTCTTACATACCTCTTTCGCTTCATCAACAGTTAGGGATTGACTTTTAAAGCCAGGTTTAATTAGAAGATGTATAAATAATAAGGGTAAGTTTTGAATAGATTGGAGAAGCTCATTGGCAAACATACTCCCTTCATGGGACATGTTGAGGGGAGAAGGGCAAGAGGATGACAACCAGATGGTCTGACCAGCTCAAGGACAACCCAGCATCGCGGTTCTACACCACAATTCAAATGGCAGCAGACAGGAGCCGAAGGAAACAATTCGTCCGATCCAGAGTGATGCCAAGATGATCACTATCGATCTTCAGTCATGAGGTAACAACCAGGTATTGAAGTTACATAACATCTTGATATTTAGTTACTATGGTAGTCAACGCAGTGTCTAGCTGTATGTAATCTAGCGTCTAGCTGTCTAAGAACTAAATGTTAACTATGATAATAATAATTTTTTAAACTATTTAGTGGTTTACCTGTATTGACTATAGGGGTTTTTTGGAACTAGGATGAAACCTGTTCGTATAACTAATAACTTCACTATTCTTATTACAAAAAATTATGTGTCAACAGTAGTCGTGGTGATCCAGAGGTTTAAGACAATCGCTTATCATTCATGTTGACGAACAGTGAAGGGAAACATCGTGAGGAAATTTAGACTTATAATTTCTAGTTATAAGTTTAAAATCACCAACCCGCATTAAGCAAGCGTGGTGATTAATGCCCAATTACCTTCCCCCCCTTTACCCAATCCCTGAATCCCCAACAATCCTCAAATTCCTAAAGGCTGGTAACGCACTTGTAACACCTCTGGTGTTCCAGGTGTCCATGGGCGACGCCGATTGCTTACCATCAGGTGATCCGTCTGCTCGTTTACCAGATTATCCCATAAAAAAAACCTTTTCCATATGGATGCCAACAGCCTGTGGTCAGCAGTGGCCACTTATAGGATGATGATTATGACGTGTCAACGAACCTGGGAAGCTAGCAGTGTAGATGCAGGTCCACTCGTTGAGCAGGTAGTCCTTCTGTGTGAACACAGACACCTCTCCTACTGTGTTCGCCACCAGTAGCTGCTTGCCTTCTATGTCCCATTCTAGGACTGATATCTGAAATGTCAATGTATCTCCTACTAATTTTGAAGGTTCAACAGTGGATATGATTTTTGTTTTTAAAAATGTTAGATACACAACTTGTGTATGTCTTGTGTTGGGTTGTGTTTATCATTATTTAGTGAGATTATTGATTTGTATGACTGTTTTCCTCTTTGCTGCACAAGTTAAGTGTATTGCCTGACCAGCTGAATGGATTGAACTGTTTATTTAGTAAATTGATTACAAAATTGTATGAAATACGATAATATAATATGAAAAACGCTTAGACTAGTTTGGTGTTATGCAAATATATTATAACTACTCAGATAATCACAATCGCATAATGTAATAAACTTGATAGAGTCAAAGTAACAAGTCAGCAATGATTGCTTTCTGTAATATACTCACAGGATAAGCACTCCCTGTAACCCTGTGACTGTCCCACGGAGTGTCGAGGTCACACACATACACATGTCCACCCCATGTGTCCCCCTCCGTGTCATTCAGCTCCGTGGGGGAAGAGAACGCAATGATGTTGCATGTTGAAATTGTGCAGATTGGACGGACCACTTCATGGTCTGTTACACTGAAAAGGAAATGGAATTGATATTATTTCCTTGTAAATGAAGGAAGGAAGAAAAAAATTGTTTACATGTTAACTCGTCGAGTACCAGTTTTGTAGACACAATTATAGAACAATAGGTTGCGGTCACCGGTGACCGCTTGGTGTTTGACAGTTTAAAAATAGTTGACACGTACAGTGTACAGATTTAGGACATCCCAAGTTTGCGGTGAAGCAAAAATGAAAGCAGATCTCAAATTTAAATGAAAGTTAATGTTTGGGAGACAAAATAACATCACTTAACAAGATGATAAACATTACCAAGTAATAGGAACCTATGCAAAAGCGACATAAGTCGTACACTAAATTTACTGTCTAATTTTAATGATTCCAGTAACTCAAGACCTCATAAGCTGCAGGCATAAACGCAAACATTCACTCTACACAATTGTGAACAACTTCAATGCAAATATCAAGGCACAAGACAAGAAAACTAAACAAAATAGTTCTTTGCATATGATCGAGTTGTTATCTATTTTTATTGTAGTTAACGGCTACACATATCAATTTTCTTGCATAAAAGATACTATTAGCCATGCTGACTGAAATATAACTGTAGAAAATGCCCCACTATCAAAGAAAATACATACAAATCAAACCCAAACAAATTGTGTTACCTTTCGAAATGTGGCGGCTCACAATTCAGAGGCTTTCGCCTCATTGAGTATATTAAATCCATTTTGTAAAGTAAGTTTCAGTTTCGCTTATGACGTTATTTTTATTTACATTAGGTTGTCCTTTATAAAATAAGCAAATAATGCATTTGCAACTAAAAGTTCAGAGCGTAAGCAAGCCAAACTCTGACAATCACAAACTACAACTGCAACTGTCAGTGTCATACATCATTGACACTGTCATAAATGAAATGTTGTAACGTTGTTACTAATACGAATTAGTTAACTAATTTTAATTGGCTTTGTTATAAAGCTTTCTACTGAATTTAATTGCCTTATTTATTATTTTGTCTTCCAATTATTTCCAACAAAATCATTTTACAGACTTCTTGTATTAACTTATACTTAGCTAGTGGCTTTTTCATTTTCACTTTGATTGTTCTATACACCTTTACATATTAAATGAAACCAATCGAAAAAATACATAAAGTTTTAGCTTATCGATTATATTTAGTTTTTCGTCGACTAAAACAGTATGAAAGATTTGCACTATTTCTGTGGCTATCTTCAAGGCGATCAACCCTCAAACGCTGCAAGCTTCACTCTACATGAAGTTGCCGGACATTGCCCTTTCATTATTGAGTTGTGTTTCCGAACGCAGCGGTACTCGCTCGAAGATGGCGGCTCGTCCGTAGTAACATCGACATTTAGCTTTGTGAATATAATCACAAAATTAACGTGAATTTTATGTGAAAATGTGATTCGTATGAATTAAAACATATTGTGTAGTGTTGTTAAAGTGATTTGCAACATGTGCCGGACAGGGATGTGTCGTTTCGGTGTCGGGAACTGGATATTCTTGTTCGCCTGTCTCCATTTGTTTACATACGCTCAAGGTAAGCTCCTTATAAATATTAACATTTGCTATCGATCGTTGGTCTTGAAACCGCCGCTAATAACAGGATCTGTGTAATTATGCAGAAAATTGCATCTAGATGAAATTTAAATACTTGAACGTATCTGATGTATCATTTTAAAGTTGAAATCGCTATCGAAGTCGATTTCTCCCGACTCGACGCTAGACAACTTGCATATACTTATAAAGGACTTACTTTATTGTTTTATGGTCCGATCCGACCCGAGCTTTAGCAAGTATTGTAGTTAATTTATATTCTCTCTCATTTTATTTATTTCTTATTAATTCTGTCCAATTTAGGCACTGGTAGTGCTTATCCTGTATCCTGTCGATGCGGCATGCGTATTTTTTCGTTCTTTTTATTGCATTCAGGGCTCCGGCGGCGGCCCTTCGCCCTCGTACATAAATCTCGCATTATTGACTGCGTCGGGTTAATTAGGTTTGTAAACAGATTGTAAAGTTTAACGATTCCTATTGGAATAGTTCCAAAAGATTCTCATTAACGTTGTTTAGTTAATTTAGTGATTAATTCGGATTAGTATTGTGTCGATGTGTGGGTTGTTGCCACTGGAGTAGTTGGTTTCTTTGAATAGAACTGAATCATTGACTAGTCTTACTAAACTACCGGCAAATATTTTAAACAACAAACTGAATAAAACTAGTTTGAAACTTAGATAGGTATTTGTTTAGCATCCGAGTTCAAAAGATGTGGCGATAATCACCCAGGCATTTCATCATCTTTATTCGACAATAGCGAAACAAATGATGTTCTAATTCTGTGAATAAGCTTTGTTTGTCGTAAGTGGATAGGTAGGTATGTACGTACGATACCTATCTAAGGTCTAGGTCATAAGTTCATCACACGTTGTTAGCTTGTGAGATATCCAGATACCTAACAACTTAATATAGTTTGTTATTTACTTGTTTCTTTGATATTATCTCATTGACGTTTAACTTCATTAGTCTTATCACTGAACTAAAAATATGTAACAACTGGTCACTAAAATCCTAGCGATGTAAGGGACAATTTAAAAGCACCCTCAAATGAGGAGCATGAGTAGGTAGATGAAGCGAAAGAGATAACATTCTGAATTCATGTCTTTTGGTGTTTCGTAATGTGTCTTCGTAAAGAAATGCATTGACTACCCTATGGTAGGTTTACCCATTATTTTTTCGTATTTCCTCTTTTATAAAAAACATTGCCCCACACCACACCACACTCAGGTTTTCTTCTTGTCGTATGTGCGTTAGTATCAAAAGACTAGACACTGAACAAATATTGAGGGATTACACAATGAACACCCCGTAACTGCACAGCAGCCAGTCACTCACGAAGACCCAAAGGTTCGATTGTACTCAGTTACCTATTTGTACTTGGCTACTAACAATAGTTGACAATAGCCAGCTAGTTAGCTTCCAAGTATTTAGAAAGCTGCAACTAGGAATTCTGACATAGTAACTAAACGCAACCACATCTATAGTCATTCTGGTACATTCCTCTACAACTATGCATATTGCATACCTCGGACTTAGGCGCAGAGGAATTTAGGATATTTACGCGACTGACTTGCGACTGCGAGTGATCGACAATGCGATTAATCGTGTAACTAAATGCTTTCCCAGTGTCAAAGGTGAAGAGCCACGAAGAATAGGACGCGCGGAGTAACATGTCTGACGTCTACTTATTTTCAAGAATTTGGAAAGTCAAAAAGCTTTAGCAAGGCTGTTTAGAAATGTTTTGTTGCAAGTAAAAATTTATATTTAATGGAACTTTAATGTTGAAATCTCAAACTAATCGATGTTTTTCAAGAACCCATGATCTGTAGCTGTAATGGTTTTTTTTATATCTGATCCGATTACTTTTCCGTGTTTTAAAGAAGGTAGTTATATAACTAAATTGTGAAATGATTGCTTATGGGTCGACGTGCTCCATCGTAGATCGCATCATTGCTTACCACCAGGCGAGATAGTGGTCAAACGTCGGCCCATCAAATATTAAAAAAAATATTATTTGTTGATATAAAGCTTAGTATACTGTCTATTAATAACTCTTTCATATTTAACTAAAGTATTCCATAATCAATCAATACACACAATCAATCGATACAATCGGCACTACTAGGAAACTTGAGAAGAGCCTGTACAACAGTTGTACATGACACGATAGGTAATTCGTAAAAATTAGTTCCTAAATACGTTTTTGCATAAGTGAAGCATCACGTCAGACAACTCTGATTATCTCGACAACTTGGTTCTCTGGTTGAAACCTTAAACTAAATAGAAATAAAGAAATAACGGTCCGCCCACAGTGTATAATCCACCCCACACAAATTGAGAGCTCCTTTCAACGTAATGCAAGTTTATGAGCCGCACAATGAACAATGATTTTGGATTAAAACTCCACAGCGGTCCCACTTTGGTAACAATTACTAAATATGACCTGTTTCGAAATCTGAGCGCCTGGTACCGCTGATCCATGACGAATTCTTAGCCCTGCGTAGACTTAACCAATGCGTTTATGATACAGAGATTATATTAACGGGTATAATTCGTATAATAAATAACTTATTAACTCCTTGATTCATAGCCGTTTGTCTTGTCTCTCTTGTAATAGTCACCAGAAACCCGAGGTATCGATCTACAGTTCCGACATAACTAAAAAAAAGTAATAAAAGACAAGTAGGTTTTAAGGTTTGAATATGCAACCAAAAAAGGGTTACCGGGGCTCCGGCTCGATGTGCAGGAGGAGGAACGGGGTGGTTTTTAGTCAGTAAGAGTCTGACACTCCCTCCCGCCTCACCCAGGCGGGAGCAGTCATTCGATGATTTTCCCCCTTAAAAAAATCGTACAAACAATACCTACTCAGCATAATACAACAGTGTCTGATATGAGCACTACTAGGGACCAAAAACACCTAAACAATGTCTGTATCGTAATAATCGAGTATACCGAACGCTTGACTGATCACATTTGCCTTCATACGTTTAGAATTAACTAACAAGAACAAGAGAAGTCTGGTTTGCTGTGTTTTACCACGGCCTTACAGAAAACCGACACGAAGCAACGCTTGCGTTGTGTTTCGTCGTGTGAGTGAGGTTACCGGAGGTCCAATTACCCCCTCACTAGTCCCCGTCTCCTGAATCCCTGAAGCCTCCACAATCCCCAAATTCTCAATTCCCAAAAGGCCGGTAACGTACTTGTAACGCCTTGGTGTTTCGAGTGTCCATGGGCGGCGCCGATTGCTTACCATCAGGTGATCCATCTGCTCGTTTACCGGCTTATGCTATAAAAAAAAGAACGAGCCACAATTATTTTACTTTCTGAAGAAAACTCGTAACTAAGAACGTATTTAATGGCACATTCAATGTTTATTGAGCTTTATAGGTTATCTGAAAACATTTTACGACGAATAGGAACAGAACGAATAGAGGTCAAACCCAATTAGTTGGTTAGATCGGAAGAAAAGTAGTTAAAGATAGTCCGAATAAATCAAAGTTCAGCAAATATTTCAAGTAACTGAGTATTAAGTTGCTTTAACTACTAGTCAATGTACATATTATATACTGGCTTGCAAAGATGTAGTAGATAGATGGAAGCGTGTGGCTCTCCCAACCAGCACGAGGTTCTTCAAAAAAGGCGTTAGCATCCTCCATGGTCAGCAACGTATTCGTGATGTCTCTGATAATTATTGCAAGTGTGTGTTCATAGACTAAGGTATTTATTTATTTAGTCTTTAATGGACACAATTTGATAAGGCGAACTTAATGCCATATGGCATTCTTTACCAGTGAACCTTAGGGTTTAAGTAGAAAATCTGCGTTTAAGTAAAAAAATAATAGGTATCTGCTTGCCATCAGAACTCTCAGAAGCTTTGTTACTGACTTGCTACTGTAGATATAGCATTAACTCCCAATTTGTAGATTGTCCAAACAAAGCCTAACTTTACCGATTTGACAGTTGATTATTTTAGACTTTGCCAATTTTTGTTTGCTCATCAAAGCTGTAGGTCCGTTATCGTTCGCAGTTCACAGCGGAAGGCAGTGTGTGCTTACAATAAAACCCACTTCTTGTCAGTTATGTTAATATTGTCAGATGCCTAATACAGTTCTAGAAATTGAAAAAACCATTCACAGTTTTCTGAACCCAAATCTAGTTTCTCGTTTGACGCGCGAAACTAAGTCACAAGAAAAATCTTTCGCATTGTAGAAGCTACATAACACATTCCACATTAAACATATCTTCGGATGGTTGTGGTGACGGCAGACTCGAATACATGTCTCACCATCTCTGCTCTTCCCGCGGGAGCCGTAGTTCGTCACCATTATCATCATCATCAACGGTCAATAGGCCACTGCTGACCAAAGACCTCTTCTCACACGGAGAAGGTTAGAGCATTAATCACTAGCCACGCTCAATGCGGGTTGGCATTTTCAAACTTATAATTAGACATTATAAGTCCAGGAGAAGGAAAACATCCTTTACCATTTGTCAGTGGTGTCTAAATAATTTTAGAAAGTACATATAACTCGCAAAAAGTCATATTGGTACTTTGTCGTTGGTAGGTTTCGAACCCGTACTCCCGGGTATGACGACGACGGTGTACTAACTACTACACATGCAAGGGGTCTCGGGTTCGATTCCAGGGTCGGGCAAAAAACCACTTTTTTTTTAAATCTCAATAGAAGCACGGAATTGTGCCCGGTATAATAGGCCCACCCTCTATTACATGGGATTCATAACATAAATAGTGAACAGTGGGTGTTACATTGTACAGTGGCGTTAAGTGCCGTAATGTGCACTCCTTTGGGGATGAAAGGCGTGATGTTATGTTATGTTTATAACCTAAAAGCTGTAAACTTATAAGTGTCTGGTAGTAACACACACCGGTTGGCTATTCTTTGCCTTTGTTGTCCACTGACTTAACTGTCGCCGTAACTGGTTAGATTTCTAACACCGTTGCCATGGTTACATTGTTTTAAC